GCGGCTCCGCCTGCAGCAGTCGCGACAGCACCACGTCCAGCACCTGCACACATTGCACACATTGCACTCACTCACATTGTTAGATTTCAGCATTATCAGCGCCCTAGACGAGATTTCTACAACCTCCCTTAATTCCAACAAGAAAAAAGGCACCCTGGGCAGTGGAAACACCCATCCCTTTTTTATAATAAAATGTGGCAAATGTGCAAGCGGCCACCTGATTCCGCCAAAATGGCGAAGCGACCGTAACGAACATAAATTTACCTGGGAGAGCGCCTCCCACTCCTGGTGCAGCGGGTGCGTTATGTCGATATGAGGTGGACAGGAATGCACTTTGTCGAGCGCCGCCTGCGTCCATTGCTCCACATACGACCACGTAACTAGCGGCGCCGCGATCATACAATACCTACACAACACATAATATCGGCTTAAACATAACAATAAGCAGTAATTATTAGATTATTAATAATTTCTCGCGAGTAAAATCGTGTGCAACAGCTAGTATCTTATGCATAGTTTTCTTGTTGAAGTACTTACCTAAAGCTATCTAATATTTCAGTTCGACAACGGCTAAAGAATATCGCAAACTCCTGTTCGCTGTCGTAGTCCATACATGCGTACGCCACTTCGTCGGACACGCCGTTGGCACGGGAAGACGGATACGATACCTGAAAATAACTTTTTTATAGTACAGCTCTCAAAACGTTTGTATTTACAAATTACCCTAATAACAACTGTCCCTTTGGGTTTGGAGGTCACTGCTTCTCCAGTGACTTTAAAATATAAAATATTCTAGCTGTTCTTGTGTGGCTTCATTTTAAAAACTTTGTTTACATTTATGAAACTTTTTCCAATTTAAACAGCTTGTCGTAAGTCTAGGGCATTTATTTTTAAAACATTAAAACTAAATATAAAGTATGATGTGTATGGTGATATTCTTAACAAAGAAGTGTTTATAGAAGTATAGACTTACTTTTAAAACCTTAGGTGCGGCAGCCTGCAGCCACCTGGGCACAACCGCGACAAGCAGAGGCAACTTGGAGATGTGGTCGTGCTTGAGGAAGGCCAGCCAGACCGCGTTGGCGGTGTGCGCCAGCGTCAGCGAGGGGTGCGAGGTGAGCAGCAGCGTGGTCTCCAGCAGCACCGGCAGCCACGCCTCCACGTTGCTGGCGTTCGACCACAGCGTCGTCAGTTGCTGCGCCAATCCTGCTAAGACCTAAAAAGTTACAGATGTGCCAAACAGGTTTACACGGTCAACATTTGGTAAGTCATAAAATTAAGTATTTCCATTCTTAAAATTGTATACCAAACTAGCTATCGCCCGCGAGTCTGTCCGCGCGGACGAAAGAAAAACTTAATAGCCTATGTGTTCTTCCAGACTATGTTCTACATCTGTGCAATATTTCAACAAAATCTATTAAGCAGTTTTGGAAATACATAGTAACAAACATCATCCATCTACACTTCCATTTTGTTTCGTAAAATTTCGTGAGTAGAAAAAAGCTAGGGAAAACATGACATACAGTATGATATTTTACAATTACAAAATAAATTCAAATTTTATTACCTGTGACAGTTTCTTGAGGAATAAGTATTGCTTTTCATCCGCAGTTCCGATGCTAGCGAGCGCTGCACGATGGATTGATGAGATTGCATCTTCACTAAATAATATCATTAATGGCTTACGCTCCTTTGTCTAAAACCATAAACCATATGTAAGCTATGACATCCTATATATTAGAGGTATAGGCGTTTCTTTATTTTTCGTAATCTATGTCTATAAATATAAAATCCGTGTGTCCGTATGTAATAAAAAAAACATGATCTATGTGTATTGGTTATAACAAAAAACATATATATTTTTAATGTGATTGTCTATAAGAATAATCGTTTGTAATTTAGTGTTGGACCAATTGTTACGGGAAAGTAGCTGACATACGCGGAAATTTTATATGCCAATTTTAATTCTGCGCTGAAGAAATCGTAGGCTACTAGTATTGTGGTATACTTACAGAGCCTTTTCTATTGACAACTTGCAACAAACACTCAGCAGCTGGTAATCGAAACACTTCATCTTGTAACAATATGCAGAGTATTTGCAGCAGTCGACCGTCATTCATCACAACATGGTTTGTAGACACCCATTCAACGAAACCTGTCAGTGTCAGTAATACCACCTAGAAGAAAAAAAAGCATTTATACAATACTAAAAAAAAAAAAATTGTGACCAGGAGTTTTCACCATTAGGAACATTTTTTTATAAGAGAAAGGGGCAAACAAGTTGACCACCTCTGTGTTCCTGCACACAGAGGTGGTCAACGACGCTTATAGACGTCCGTAACTGCATGTCATTCATGGAAATAATCATAGTCAGCGGTATGTTTTGTGCTAATATTTGGTTAGTGGAAAAGCACTCTGGGACATAGATTTGTGAAATCTTTATATTCTGCATACAACACAGAAAAAATAATAAATATTTCTTTTTACTATTAAACTGATATAATTTTCTTATGTTAACCTGTACAACACGCCCATTGCTTGCAGCAGCGGCATAATCACCAGCTGTGGTTTTCTCTCTGAACTCCTGAACATGAAGCTCTATGAGCCGCATAAAGAATGCAAATATCTCAGCCATGTTGCTTGTCAGTGCTTGGTAAATATCTTTGCGACGCTGATGTTGTTCCAAGGTCTGTAAATTAAAAAAAATAAGTTATTATAAGCAACATAGTGATGGCAAATGTCACTGAAAAAATAAGAATTAACATTGCATGCAGTAATTTATATTGTAAATAATGTTTGCTAAATGCTGAATATTTTTTTCTTATAAAGAATTGAGCATAAATATTACCTGTAGAGTGGCAACATCTTCAACAAGCCGTAGAAACACATGTAGGACTATTTGTGTGTGTAAATGTCCATGAGAGCATGCATCACTAAGTTCTGCGAGCAGTGTAGGCCACTGCTGCGGCCATTCACGCTTAATCATTTCAACTATAACCCGAGCTAGGGCATCATTAAGATGACCTGTCTCCCATCCACCCATGTATAATAGCTTCATGGCATTTTCCTGCAATAACAATATACATCACAATTAGACAATCAAAACTAGCATAGATAATTTGTATTAAATTTAAAGCATTCAGATTGCAGATTTCAATTATTTATTTTTATTTCATTAAATTACCTTAATAAATATTTTTTCAGCTTGTGTTATCTGTGTCCATCTATATTTGACAGTGTGCTCCATCAACTGCAGCCCAAAATGTTTAACAACAGCTGAATATTGACTACCACTAGCCAGGAGAAGCCCTGCTTGAGCACACCATGGTGAGTTCTCTTTGAAACTGCAAATAAATGGTGTTATTTCAAATATAAATTACCTTTTGACTCAAATTAAGTTGTAGAAAGTGCACTATTCATTTTTCGTTTAGAGAATTACATCATTCTACTATGCCAAATGTAGTTAAACACTGCGCTTACCTCTCGCAAGCATTGTAAGCTTGGTTTCTGGCATCATGTGACACGGCTGCGTTCAGCGTTAGTTCTACTGCTCGACTCAACTCGTCTGCTATGAGACCAACCTCCCCAGCCATGTCACCATTCACTGCCTCCACATTCATTGCAGCTTTTGTTTGCTGTCAATGGAAAACAATAACATATAAGAGACGGAGTCATCGCTTATAATATAAATATAAACAACGTAAATAAAGCACACAATTGAAAAAAAAAATTGACACTGCAACAATGTTTTGATGAAAAACTTATTTTACTCACCTAATTTTCCTAACTAGAAAATCTTCATATAACTTAATGCACTTCACATTTCGATTACCTCGATACTGAAAAGAATGCCTAAGTTTTAAATGCGACTACAGGCATAATATAAAGGAATTTTTATGGCAAGTACCCGGTGGTAGCTATCAAAATATTAAACTAAAGTCACTTTAGACCCGAAAAAGACTAGAACTATAAAGATATACAATAGTAGCTATACGTAAACTTTATATTTTTTGTGCAACACCTCCATTTACGACATAATTAATAAAATTACATTCAAAACATAGGAAATACCTCGTGTCGTTTGACTGAAAAGAATCAGAGTGAACCTAACCATAAACAATATTTACAACACTTTGACTTGAATCTAAACAAGTAGTTTTTCTTATAAACCGCAGCTTACTTTATCTTATAAAGGTGTAAATTATATTTTGGTTTGCTGTGATTGAAGAGAACATAAACAAATGTTGGTATAGTATAATTTCGAGTTAAGTATCATTTATTTTCTATAACCGAAACTTCGCTTTAGCATGACATTTTTATTTCCGGTTCTTTGTGTATGAAAGTCAAAGTTGTGTTATTGTTTTGACAGATGCCAGCGAATACAATTTGAAAATTGGTGCCTTGAATTTCCCTACTTTGTTTTTCCTTTGTTTTGAAAGTAATTATTTGCGATCGCTTGCGATTCTGATTATTTGTCCTGTATATCTTAATGCAAATATGTCTTAAGAAAGGAGAAAGTTGAAGATTTATTTTTGCTAGTAAGAGATAAATAATTGTAATGGACTCAAGTTCCCTTAAACCATCTTTAGAAAAACAACTCAAAGGTCACCAAGGCGGAATTACAGCTTTGTTTTATAATCCTAACGATACACAAATTGCTAGCAGCTCCTTGGACCATAGTGTTTTGGTAAATTTCAATAACACCATGTTTAATAGTGGTCTTCACCCTTTCGCTATTGCATAAATTTTATAATTGCTTTTTCCAGTTATGGGATCTGAGTCGGCCCATGCGCAGTTACAGATTCCAAGGACATGAAGAAGCTGTAATGGATGTGACATTCTCTCCACGGGGAAAATATATGGCATCTGCATCTCGTGATAAGACTGTTAGATTGTGGGTGCCTACTGTTACGGGCAGTACTGGAGTATTCAAAGCTCACTCTCAAACAGTGCGATCTGTGCAATTTAGTCCTGATGGTTCACGGGTAAACTAAATGATTAAATGTAAAACTTAATAATTGCTTAAATTTAATTGAACTTTTTTTAAAATTTTTTGTAGATATTAACAGCATCAGATGATAAGATAGTGAAGTTGTGGTCAAGTGAGAAGTATAAATTCATTTCTTCATTTGTTGGTCACACAAACTGGGTGCGTTGTGCTCGTATGTCTCATGATGGTTCTGTCATAGCATCATGTTCTGATGATAAAACTACTCGACTCTGGAGTCCTGATGCTGGAAAGTGCATACATGAATATAAGGATAGTAAAGTCTATGCCACACATCTATCATGGCATCCATCTGGTTGTTATATAGCTATTGGATCATCTCATGGAAATGTTATGGTTTATGATATAAGAACTCACAACCTCGTCCAGTATTATAGGTAAATTATCTCTCATTCTTTTAAAATTTAAACCTATTTACTCCTAATATTGTTTAAGTATTTGAAGTTAACTCACATTCAAGCATATGGCAGTGAATGTGTTATATCTGATAGATTCATGAGTGTCACCATTCGACGATCTAGGCTATATCTAGAGAAGGTGGAAGCTAGTTATCATATTTGTGTGTTGAAGTACTTTATATATCTTTTTTACATATTTTCGAATCTCCAGGGGGAGACTTGCCTGATCTCTCATAGCGGTGTTCACATATAGTATTTACAAAAAAATGTTTTCAGCATACACACTGATGCAGTGACACAATTGGCTTTTCATCCAAGTGGAAGTTATATCTTGACATCTGGGAAAGATGGCAAAATAAAGGTAAAACAAAAGTCAAAACACTATCTATTGTGTGCAAATTACTAATTATTTCTTTTTCTGTCTAGATATTAGACTTACTTGAAGGACATCCTATATTTACTGTTACGGGACACAATGGTGCTGTAAATTCTGTCAGCTTTTCGACTAGTGGAAATGGTTTCGCATCGGGCGGTGAAGACAAAATGGTAACTAAGATATTTAAAAATGATTATGCAATTGAAAACATTTTTAAAATTTCATTTTTCGTAGGTTTTTATATGGCGTACTAACTTCACTGAGTTTGCTGATGAAAGTAAAGAAAATGAGGAATGCAATCAGCAGAAATCAGTACCACAGAGTGCCTCACAAAAAGCGTCATCCGCAAGAAGAATTCAGGTTGTCAAAAAGAGATAACATTCATAGAAAAAGTAGATTAAATATGACAATAAAAGTTAGTCCATATTGTAATTGCTATAAATTAAACCAACAATAGATTTGCTTTACAAAGACTTTGTGTAAAGATGTATTTTGTAAAGCCTCATATAACAGAAAAATATTTTTGGTTCAATATGTTGTATATAATATATAATATGTTGTACTTCTCAGTTCTGTATGATAGCGGAAATTTAAAATAGGATTTTAAATTTATGTAAAGGATTAATGTAGAGATTATTGATAGTTAGATGTTTGAAAATGTAGCAGGATGAGGAATCTCTATATGATAAATATGTTTCTTATTTAAACAGTATTTGTACAACCTTTTTTTGAATTACATATATGAAAATTACGAAAAATGTTAAATAGTATTAGCAAGCTGTGCACATGCTAATGTATGCTGTTGTCTGTAAATATAAGAGCAACTAGAGTATTGTAAAATAGAAGCAACTGTAATTTAGAAAGTTCTTACTTATTTCATACAAAAATAGTTTTTATTTTGTAGATACCTCCCATAGTTTTGAAATAATTCAAAAAATATTTAAGAAAACAGTCTAAGTGGACTTTTATACAATTAATTTGACAGGAGATTAATAAAAAATCTTCTGAACTAGGGTGCAAGGTTATGGTACAAATGCTATCACAGCTCCAAGTATCCTATTGTCACATTTGTCCATCTCGATGATCCTTCAAATATGGAAGAACCTGTCGCAAGCAGCACATTCTATGAAGAAACTAATGAAAACTTACGAAATGTGTCTGATCCAATAAACATGACATTTGAAAGAGATCCATGTAAAAGTGGTACAAGAATTGACATGAGCTCAGAAGTTGGATCACCAACATTCAATGTTGGTCATATAAGCCACATACCACGCACACCTCCAAATCCTTCCACATACCGAGTACCATCTGTTATCAACTGTTCTGCTACAGAAAATAAGGAAGATTTATTTGGAATGATAAAACTTAAGGAAACTGACATTTGTTATACTAGTGGAACAATAGAGTGGGTAGGTCGCAAAAGAACATTTCCCTTGAACACTGGGTTTAAAGTTATCAGCGATAACCATAGTCCTAAAAATGAAAATTGTGTTAAAAGAGCAAAGAAAAATCCACCACCATGCAATCTGAATAAGATAAAGGAGTGCGATTGTGCTGATGTTTTACCTACAGTCAATGCTATTGTTGATCACTTAAATGCTTTGCATGAAGCTGTGGATATTGTTGACTTGAGACTTAATACATTAGAAGAAGTTGCTATTAATTAATAAAATAACTGTTTATGAAAATAAATTTATTAAATACTGTACTCTGAAAAATATAATTAATGTAATATTAATAACAGTTTTCTTATTTACAAACAAAGAATAAAATGATTTTAAGACTTGTCATATATAACTACAAAGTAATAAAATGTGTTTCTTAATGAGAAGTTTAACTGAAGTACAATATTTATAAAACTTGGTTCACAGATTGTAATGTTAATACCTGCCTTGATTTACTTATCATAACTTTGCAAAGATTTTTCACTATTGTGTTCCAACATACGTTGTCTTTTTGCCGGTCTTCTTGATAACCTCTAGCAGCTGTTCAGCACTTAGAGAAGATGTTACAGATACTTTTTGGTCTGGAAGACTTATAGACACTTCGTTAACACCTTGGCCTTTTAACCTATTAAGTACCCTCTCTACTGCGCCAGAGCAGCCTTCACAAGTCATTTCTACGTTAAAAATATGGGTCTGTAACAAAACAGTCAGTTTTCTTATCAAATATCTGAGTAATTATATGTTTATTCATCTCTTATCTTACCGAAGACATGTTCTTATTTTTGTTAAAGAAACAAAGCAAAAAGGAAGAAGCTGGATAAGTCCAGAGTACTGGCAATTTATTGGAAATTAGAGAATATCAAATAACTCCTTATCAATAGATAAATTTTATCAAATCAGTAAACGTAATTTGACAGTTTGACAGGTCAACGACCCTATTTCAATAGAGTCAATAAAGCTAAAAACAACATCTTTTTGTGGATTATCCTTTCTTTTTTGAAGAAGAAGACATTTTATAAAGCTTTTTTTAACAATGTCAACTGCTATTCCAAAGTTACAAAATTATTTAAAACATTTTGTAGGAAATATCAATGACAATATGTATTAATTATCTGCCGGCTGTTCCACTCCATAAATTATATATCTCTGCCTGTTTGTCAAATAGGCAACTGAAATATGGTGTGCCCGTATAAGTTTTTTTATTTATTAAGTGTTTCTGATTTTATGTTATAGTTTAAATAGAATTAGAACCATGTCGCTTCTGGAGAGCTTAAAAGAATTAGGCTGGTAAGTTGTCCAATTCCAAATCTAGACTTGCATCTTTGATTGCATTTTTATTTTCGATAATCGTATGTTTCCAGGCATCTCACACAGGAAGGGATTGATACTATTAGCGAAAATGGTGAAATACAGGATGTAAATATCATTAGCCGAAAGGCTTTAGACGTAAGTACACATAAATGATTTAACAAGTTGACTACTGGTTCAACAATCTGGTTCAAGTAATTAAAGTGCATACTTCCGATGTTGCAGTATGATTTGAGGGAAATCGGAGATGCTGCATTTCCGGAAGAATTTACAAAAGATCCTACTAAACTGGAACAACCGATAGTCGTTCAAATACAGAAGATAAGAAATGTGTCAGCACCAAAGGCTAATGAAGAATCTAATTCAGCCCCTCGAATGTTGAAGTTGACACTACATGATGGGAAAACAATTTGTACAGGATTGGAGAGCAGTCATATTTCCAACCTTAGTATTAATACACCACCAGGTACAAAGTTGTTGCTCAATAATGAAGGCCTTGAAGTATGCCATGGTATCATCTGGCTATCTCCAAGTGTTATAACAATATTGGGTGGAAAGGTTGCTCATATGATTGAAAAATGGGAACTAAATCGGAGCCTTGCAAAGCATACTAGAGGTAGGTTATACTATCAAATAATTTCCTTACAAATGTCTGACAAACACTGGGTTTAAAATCAGAAAGTAAATAATATGGATTTCACTTGTAACAAGAAATCTAATTGGATTGTTATAAGAACTTGCTTTTTTTTACAAGAACAATTAGGTTATCAATAAAAGTTGACAGTAATAAAATATTACTGAGTATTGACATTTAAAAAGTGGTAAAACCCAGTGTATTGTATGTGTATAGGTCCTGAAATTTTATGATGCAACTTGAGTGTTTAAATGTTTATTTTTTATTTTTTAAAGGTGGTATAGGTGCGGAAGGTGGACCTCCTCCATGGATTCCATTTGGCCAGCGGCTTGAAGCAATGACCTTGGAAAAACAGTTCAAGAGCTTACAGGAAGCTAACAAACAGGACAATGCTGAGTTTGAAGCTCAAAGAAAAGGTGCAATAGCTGAAGCTCAAAGGTTATCAGGTGTTAAAAAGGTATAATATTATCTTGTCTTACAACAATATGTTATACATGTGTTTAATATTAATATTTGAGTTATGTTACAGGTGTTTGGTGGAGGTACTAAACCTTTACTGGATGCAAATGTCCAAAAGATTGTTGATGCTGGATTTTCTGAGGAGCAAGCTGAAAATGCTCTTAAATATACAAAAAATAATGTTGACAGGGCTCTGAGGATATTGCAAAAGAGAGATAATTCTGAAAACAGAAGTAAGGATAAAGATAAGAAAGAGACAGAGCCACCTAAACGTAAACCTCGCCACAGGGATCAAACTGATGATGATATTGTACCTATTAAGCCATCAGGCATGGTGTCCCTATTTGATTTTCTAGAAGACAAACTACCCAATATTCCAGATAAAGACAAGAGTACCCAAAAAAATGTCCCAACTGATGATAGAGGAGATAGGAACTATCCTAAGGAGAGAAACAGTGCCAAAAGTAGTTCAAGATCACACAGATATGATGGAGCCAACAGGCATAAATCAGAAGGCAGAGGGCATTATTCAAATGATAATCATCACAGAGATGACAGAAAGTATCAAAATCAAAATGAAAAACCACCAAGATTTCAGAAGAAGTTGGATGAGAGAAATAAACAGCACCAACACCATCACAATCATCATCAGAATCATCACCATCACCAACAACAACAGCAGCAGCAACAGCAGCAACAACAACAACAGCAACAACTACATCAACAACACCAACATCAGCAGCAACAAGATGTTAATGTCAATATGAACTTACAGTACAACAACTCCTATCACAACCCACATAATAATCCTTACGATCACAGTAGATATAATGAAAGAAATGTTAATGATAATAATATACAATTGCCCCAAAACTTTCGGAACAACAGCAATGTGATGGACAGTTTAACCGAAGCTACGGCTAATTTAAATATACTATCAAACTCATCAAGGCATAGCGAAGATATGTCACGTAACTATCAAACACATCAAGATCAGATGTACCTCAAGCAACAATATATGCCTAATCAGAACATGCAAGACATGACTGGTTACCGGAGGGCCAATGATATGCAGAAATATCCAGACCAACAGTATCAACGGAGGCAGCAACAACAGTCAAATGGCTATATGGAACCACAGCAAAATTTGCAAAATCCGATGTACGCGAATATGAATTACATGGGAGGGGCACAGAGTGGGTATAATGGAAGGCAATATGGCTATGGAAGACCGCAAGAGTATAACACGATGCGACCTGCTGGGCCATTCCTACCGGGCTCTCTGCTTGGCTTCCAAAATGCAGCTGTCAATGAACAAGCTCGAGCTCTGCTTGGTGTCACTGACGTCAATTGGAAAGTAGGGGACAGATGCCTCGCGCTCTATTGGGAAGACAATAATGTAAGATTTATTTGTAAATTCTTGATTTTTTTGCCTTGTTTTATTTTACTGATGTATTGATTTTTGTTTCAGTTCTATGAGGCTGAGGTGACGGGAATTTCAGCTAATACAGTAGTTGTTAAATTTTGTGCATATGGTAACCATGAAGAAGTTTTAAAATCTAACTGTTTGCCATTCCCTAATCAATGTAAGTATAGGATTTCTCAAATTATTTCATAATCAAATAGTGCTGATCTACCAATATGTTAGGGATAGAGAAATCCATTATAGTTTGGTATATAGGTTATAATAGAGACCAATATCTCATGAAGTATCAATCATACAATTTAATAAAGGTGATATTCATGCTAAAATCTCTACAACTGTCCCTTATTTGGTCCATTGAGTAAGGAGCTACAAATTACAAAATTAGATAGTGATGTTTAATGTTATATTTTAAAATAAACGATTTAGTTGTATGTTTGCGATGTTCAGCAGTGGGTGGCAGCGGAGGGTACGTGTCGCGCGGCGGCATGTTCCCCGCGCGCCGGCCGTAGGGACACGCCGCGGCGACGCGGGCGCGCCCCGCCGCCCCCGCCCCCGCCGCGCCCAGCTGACCGCGCTCTCGCTCACACGCACCGCGCTCACCCTTTACCCAACGATGTCTCGCTCTAACGATCTGTCAATACATTCACATTCACTTATGTTGTCCTAGTACAGTTTCAATATACAGTATGTTACATAAATCCTGTTTCGTTTTTGTATCATTAATTCAATTTTACTGTAAGAAAATTTTACTATTAAATATGTCATTTTGCCGTTCATTCTTTACGCTATCATATGTAACTAACACAAAAATATAGACTTTAGTTTAGTTTTTAGCTAGTTTAGCTGAAAGTATTTCTCGCGAATCGAATGGGTCTGATTGTTATGGCCTAAACCAGTGATATCCCAAGCTTTCTTTTTATTTGTTACCATAATAGTAGCGAATTCTTAACGTACATTTGGTTATTTGTATAATTGTTAATATATGTAAATTAATAAAAAAATTTATAGCCCTAATTTTTATCCCGGATCTAACAGGGTTTTTGAAACATACTGTTTGTATGAAGCCTATGTCCATTGATTTTTTTTAACTTTAATAAATAATGTATAATTTACAGTGTCATTGTAGCCATCTTACATTAAAGCAAGGGATTTTTATTTTGAAAAGAATATGCATACTTTAATCTCTATTGCACTATTAAGTAAGTAGTTAATTTAGCGCGTAAAGTTACGCAATAGTCATTCATTCACTTACTTGTGCGACTATGTTCATAGTGAATACTCTGTGACATTTCGTTGGATGAAAATGTTCACTTCATAAAGAAGTATAACTTCTAATATAATCTTCGGAGACGTCGATTGGGAAAAGCTCGCATCATATTTTATTTATAACACGTCACGATGCTGCGTGCATATCGCAATATGACACTCAATAAAGCGTTTTTTTTCTGTTTTTGTTATGTACAGTATTTAAAAAAATGCAGTACTGTGAGAAAATTAATAAAATTGCATAATAAAATATTATTCTGATGTTTACGTTAATATTTCGCCTAAGTCTTAGTTTGTGAATCTCGCAATATATTTGTGCATAGCACGTTGCCCTTAGCATTATAGTTATAATTTACTAATTAGAGATTTGAATACATTGTGTACACTGACCTCTATAAATAGACAGACTATAAAATGTGATATTTGCGCCTATTTGATTTTCAACATTATGGTGCAAATGGTAGCGGTGGTGAGGTTGGAACGAAGCGAATCATTTCCCTGCAATGACATATCTATTTATAGAGGTCAATGATTGCGTGTGTTGCAACACTAATATATAAAAAAATATTTCATTCGTGAATTCTAATATTTGGATGTAAGCAAGTAAGTGGATAGAAGATACTTTAACACGTACATTGCCGCCGACTTGCGATTTGCAATACAAAAAACCGTAATGGAATGGAGTGTTGAGATTTTAAAAAATGCTATATTTTAAATAATTAAAGCTTTGTTTTTATCGTATTAAATACAATATTAAGTTTCGAAATGTACGCAGTGTCGTGTGATTAGTTCAGCGTTTTTAAGTGTTACATTTATTAGTAAATCTTGACGTTTAAGGGTTCTAACACAGCGTATGTTAATTTATTGTCGGTATATATGTAACCAACGTAGTTAGCTTCTATAAGTGTAATATGTTGTAATCTAGCGCAAAATGTGTAATATATTATTATTCGGCCGAGCGCCGGAAATATTGTTTGAAAAAGTGTTTGTTTTTGTTTTTAACGTTTGTATAGTTATATTAATTGATTGTAACATTATTAGAACAGCCTAAATTTAGACCCTTTCCCTTTCCACCCTTTTCTTAAGGGAAGGAAAAGTGGATTTGACGGTGGAGGTGACACATAAGAAGGAGAAATATCCTCTTTATGTGCGTCTCGTTCAATTAAGGGTAGGCAACGCATCTGCAATTGCGGATGTTTATGAGCAGCTGTCGCTTTCCATTTCGGTGGATTCAGGTGGCCGCTCGCTCGTTTGCCACCTTATGTTATAAAAAAAAACAGTAAAACGAGAATTATTGACGTTTCTTAACAATTTTGATTCAAGGCAGGTTAATAAAAAATAATTATTGTACAAAAGTTATAATTTTGTGTAAATTTTTTTATGATTTAGAGACGAATGTTTTCTTCACGTTCTTTTATTAACTAAAATATTAAATTGGTACATAATTGGTGAATTCGTCTGCAAAGGAAGAGCTTACGAACGTCATTATGAAAATGTTAAGTTATATCAAAAACCATTTTAAGAAATACTGATAATAGTTCCAATTGGTAACTTTACATGACATTTGTTTTTAGTTTTATTGCTTAAATGGTTATTTTAAAAGCCACAGACTTATTAAATTTAAAATCTAAAAGCAGTTAAAGGCACTTTTGGTTGTGGACTTTCTAACGCTTTATTAGATTTATGTGTAATGAATGCATAAATGTTTGGTTTTAACACTTTGAATTAATTTATATAATTATCTTGTTTAGTTCCTAATATACATAAAAATATCGACACACGAGTTTTTAGTTGTAAACTTTCGAGTTTTGCTCTCACGGTCGATTCAGTTTTCCGTATTGAAAATTGTTTTATGGTATCGTCAGTACTCACTTTCATTCATACTTCATAGATGAATAATTTCTTAACACCATAAGCATAACTAGACTTGTCTGACGTCACAGGGGAGGGATGCTACGGTGTACAAAAAAGTTGTATCCTTAAATGTAATAAAAGGAATGTTGTAAAGCCCTGCTGTAAAACAAAACTGTATGCAAGGAGATGAGAATTGAGAGGGAGGTTGTTGGTACGACGCTCTTAATTTATCGTGGATGTTGTAGTTTGCTAATAATCTCTTATCATTTATTTTGATTGATGAAGTTCGTGTAAACCAGTGTTTTTCAACCTTTTAGTTAGGAAAAAGTTATCGATGAGTTGAGACAAATATGCCCGTCGTTAGTCTTCGAATAAACAACCCCTAGCAATGCTTTAAGGTTGAAAAATAACGGTATGAACCCAAGCTCAATTCCGTGCTATATTCTATCGATGTCCTACGCGACGGCAGCGCCCTCGCCGGCTGACGGCAGCGCTCTGTACATTATTACCTATTTTCTGTTAAAGTAACGATCTATTAACAAAAAAAACTAATAAAATGAATTAACATATTCCGTTGTTGTTTGATTTATCTATTATTTTAATTGTAATAGCAAACATTAACAAGAGACGTCAATTTAAAGTTTTACACCTTATGGAAATATAGCAAGAATACAATAGTAGGGTAAGTAGTGCACAAAGAAGTTATTTCCAATAATTACCGTATGACATTTGTATCAAACAAGAGGTCCCTTCAATGTCATACTGGACCGGTTGTAGGAAGGTTTCTATAAATATTTTTCGATCTTGATTTTAACTATTACAATACTGGAAGAGCGTTTGTACCCTATAATTGTTACCTGTATACCTATCGCATCTTAACTGACCTAGTTATGGTTAAAAAAGTACATACTTCGACTTGAGATTGACCCATAGCTTGGACTTTTGGTGGGGCGTCGCGTCGCCCGCCGTTTCAATTCAAACCAGTCGCAATTCTTTCGTCGAGTGTTCACGTCGCTTTCCAAATATTAATTACGAAACATTGTGAATTAACTTTACGCAGTAATAAATGTGAGAGTGATGATTAAGTGAAATCATTGCCGACAATTACTTTGGATATAATTTGTGCGACGACCTGTTATTAAAAGGTAATTTAAATGTTGATTCATTTACCAATTAAAAAAATCTTGAATAAAGTAATGATGTTTATAAACAATATAGACATTAACTAGTTTCGGAAATATCTTTGTTATTAAAACAGTCTTGAATTGCATTTCGGAGGTGAAGTTCAGTTTTTATTTACATAACGAAGGTACACGTTTTCGTTTGTGTTTTGTTGACAAGTGAAATGTTTGTGGTACAAACCTTACGTGTGTACTTTCACTTATTGTCTATCAGCGGAAAGCGAATGGATCAGATGGGCCTTGCGTTATCCACCTCACGCCTCACCTTGACTGAGTCGCTGCGCCCGCGCAACTTGTGCCACACGAGCATAATATATGCGGCGCGCATGACATAAATACCTACATGTTGATACTAACGATAAACAATTTATGTAAGTACTACAGGCATTTTGTAGTAACGTTTTTGTTACCATTATGGATGATTACGTCAGGCTTTTTTTGAAATTTGTAAATGCTTTACCGGTAAAAGCACAGCCCAAATACTGTTAAAAAAAGTTTAGGTTTAAAAGTACTAAAGCCAGTATTTTCTGATAAGAAAACTAGTGTTCTCCGAATATGGTGTGGAAAACAAGATGAGAGCGGGACTTGTTATTACAAAAACTAGTGCATCGGTTACCGTAAAGTAGTTAACAGGACAAAATGCTTTGCTAGTTTGCTACTATAAGTACCCCGTGTACTTAAAGCAAGCCATTTTAGTCCGCTGTCCACAATACTTGTTCTCTCTATTATCGACAATTACTACAATAAGCTGTTTTTTTTTGCAAAACAATATTTAAAACGTGCATAACCATGAGGTGCCGCGCCGGTAACCTAGTACAATCATCGTTATTGTTTGAATACAACATAGATAAATGATACGTTTTTGTACAGCAATTACAAAAAAAAGTAAATCTGATGTCATATTAAATATCACTGTGGCTAAGATTAATTTCGCATATTGCAAACATATTTCCATAGTTATCTTAATTCAGACAATGGGGAAAATAGAACTCTTTGTTGTATTAGCATTAGGATTTCCGTAAACTTTTCTTGTAAAAGGTAAGCAAATTGTTTAACACTTTAATGGAGTAAAATTTAAAATAATCCCTAAGTAGACTGTGTTCAAAACTCATGCCAAAGTCCATGCAAGATGCTAAATATCACTTGTGTTCATCTACTTGTGTTGTATAGAGTTTAATTACGAAATGTTTTTTTAACAGATGAAAAACAAGGATAATGTTTGTGCACCTTCCGCAGCCTAGGCGAATAGATTTATTTTAAAAACGAGTGTTACCAGTCGGTGTAATTTTTGGTAATTAATATTTTCTCCAAATATTTTCTTGCAGTGTACTGGAATGGGCATAGGCGCGATGGACAGCTGCGGCCGTTGTATGAAAGTGTCGCTCATTGCGATCAACATTATCATATTTGTAAGTATTTATTATCACAATATCTATAATTTCACTTACATCCTTTATGAAGAGTACAGAAATATAATCGGTTATAGGAACTTACACCCCAGAAGTCGAAAATATTATACACTAGCTGTTGCTCGTGACATCCACGTGAAATTAAAAGTAGAACAAAACATAGTCTATGTTACTCAGCGACAACGTAACTTTTTAATGGTGAAAGACTTTTTAAAATCGTCTCTGTGGTTTTTGAATTACATAAATACACACAAAAATACGAATCTCATCTGTTTATAGTATTAGTATAGATATACATAGACGCAATACATTAGCTCGAGAAAACTGAGCCTTTGCAATTAAGCAGCTTACTCAAATGTTTCTTGTCTATCAGATAAGCGGTGGTCTCGCGCTGGGCGTAGGCACATGGGTGTGGGTGTCGCGG